GCTACAGCACTCTACCCAGGGGGATAGCTTGAGGCTCTGTCTCAAAAAATAAATAAAAATAAAATAAAATGAAATCCAGCCCCAGCCAAACTGCAACAACAACATTGAAGACTGTTCTTTCCTATCAAAACGCTGGCAAAATTTCTCTTGTGATGAGAGGAATGAGCGGGAGCATTGTCATGGTGGGGGAAGCTTTCCCTGGAGTGTTCCTGCTAAAACTTTGGCTAATTTTCTCAAAACACTCTCCCCTCGACCCCCAGTTTTTGGTCAGGTTTGAACCCAGTATATGGGGCTGGTGCCCTACTCCTTGAGCCACAGGCGCTGCCCTCAAAACACTCTTTACAATAAGCAGATATTATTGTTTGGCTCTCCAGATAATCGACAAGCAAAGTACCTTTGCTCAAAGTATTGAGCATCCTGCCCAATAATTGCCATGACTTTTGCACTTGAATGGTCTGCAGTTTGCTTTGGACCACTTCTACCTCCTAGGAGCCACTGCTTTGATTATGCTTCAGGATTATATTATGCCGGTAAAGCCATGTTTCTTTCATCTCCTTTTACAGTTCTTCAAAGAAATCTCACTGGGCCCGGCCCATCTCATCCCTTAAGTCAAGTTATCTACTTGGTTAACCACTGATTTCTTTGGGCCCTTGTCTCCATAAACATCAGTGATCTCATCATTCTTCCATCCGAGCTTCAATGTAGAGTTGATCACCTTGCTTCAATTTTAGCAGTAATGTTGGTCTGATAAGGCTCTCTTCAAACTAATGTGTTATCCTTCGAGCTTCGAACTAGATCTAGACTTGTTATAACAAGTTAGTAAGAATTTATTTTGGGGGCAGCCCCATATACTGAGGGTGGCAGGTTGGAACCCAGCCCCTGCCAAACTGCAACAAAAAATAGCCAGGCATTGTGGCGGGCGCCTCTAGTCCCAGCTACACGGGAGGCTGAGGCAAGAGAATTACCTAAACCCAGGAGTTGGAGGTTGCTGTGATGTGACAGCACTCTACCCAGGGGGACAGCTTGAGGCTCTGTCTCAAAAAAAAAAAGTAAGTTTTATCTTATTTTTTTTCATTGCTTCTGGGATGTATAGGCATGTTTTTAAATGCTTTCTCCACTGTAAGAGTATCAAAGTCTTCCCTGGTTTTCAAGCACACGTATACTTAATGTAAATTTCATCTTCAAAACATTAATAATATTGTACCCGAAGATTGAGGCTGTATTTTTCCCAGATAGTTGGCCAGCCACTCCAATACCACTTTTATCAAATCCTTACACAAACTAATTTGAAGTGACACTGTATTATATCAGGATGGCCCTGAGGAGCTAAGAAAATTTTGCCCCAAAATATGACTCCTTGGTATAAAGAATATTTCAAATTAAAAGGCCATTCATGGGCGGCCCCTGTGGTTCAGTGAGTAGGGCACCGGCCCTACATACCAAGGGTGGTGGGTTCAAACCCGGCCCTGGCCAGACTGCAACAAAAAAATAGTTGGGCATTGTGGTGGGTTCCTGTAGCCCCAGCTACTGGGGAGGCTGAGGCAAGAGAATTGCCTAAGCCCAGGAGTTGGAGGTTGCTGTGAGCTGTGACTGACAGCACTCTACCAAGGGCATAAAGTGAGACTGTCTCTAAAAATAAATAAATAAATAAAAGGCCATTCATGATCAGGAAGCATTAAGGGAGGCCTTTCCTACATCTACATAAAACCAGAGTGACCTGATTGAGAATCAAAAGGGGCTGCTGTGACTTCCTTACTGTATACTAATAGGCTTGGCTCCAAGGTCATTTGAAGTATAATACCTGTCTCAGGTTAATCTACAACTCCATCTGTTTCCACACACACCCCAGCAACCACTTGCTGCACCTGTACTTTCCACGTTCTCCCTCCTCCCTTCCAAAAGGTATCTACAAAGCTCTGACCATCACTGAGACTTTGGCTAATCATTCTTGTGGTTTCCTCCCATGCGCATAGTATTTGGAAATAAACCTTTCTCTTATTAATCTACCGTAATTGTGAGTTGATCTTTTGAGTGAACCAGATTAAGGGGAAAGGGGGGGGGGGTTTGGCCCAGATCCCTGCAGCCCCTTAACACAGGTGCCAGGGGGTTGTGTGAGGTGTAGCGGTCGATGCAAAGCATGGAGTGGTGGTCCAGACACCCTTTCCTACTGACGATGGCATCTCACAGACGTGTACCTAATGGCTGTTCCCTTTTGCAATGATTGCATAAATACATCAGTATAATTGCTTCACAAATGATCATACCAGCAAGAGCAGGGCAGGTGCTGAGTGACTCTGTTACCCAGGGCTGCTCTCATGTGGAGTTGGGCCATTGGTCTGACCCTGGACCCAAGAGTGCTGACATCACAGCTGAGTGTCTTTGGCACCGTTTTGGGGGATTCAGTGCTCAGAGCCCTGCCGTGTGACTACTGCACTGTCTCTGCCAGTGCAGATACCACTCTCCCTGCTCAGGCAGTGATTGCTGTGGCCGTGCCCAGGGCCCTGAGTCTGTGAAGTAGTCCACAAACAGAAAAGAAATGTCTGCCCTGGCTTCTCTTGAAAGCAGCCAGTTGGATGGCATCACCAGCTCAGTGCAGAGAGAGCAGGAAGTGAACTGCTGATTCAGAGCCCACCACTGGCCTTATGGCAACCTGTGATTAGGTAGTGTTTTTTTGCAGATGGTTGCCTAACTACCAAACCAGTACTGACACCACCTCACTTTTCTGAGTAGTGTTAGTATATGTGTATGTTAGTATGTTAGTATATGTGTATGTTAGTATGTTAGTATATGTGCTAATAGTAGTAGCAGCCAGGCATGCTATAAGTGTTAGCCCTATTTATAGATGAGAAAACTGAGACATGGTGAGACATTAAGCCCCTCCAGGAGGTTGGAGTCAGGATTCAATTCGGGTACTATGACTGTAGGCTATTTAACACTCCCAAAACCTCATCTCATGAAAATCCCTTTATGTCTAAAAAGTTGGGGAGGAGCGGCTGCTTCTGCCAAGCACTCCTTTTCTAATCCTCTTGAGTTACGTATTTCCTCAATATTTGCAGGATGTTGTTTCTAGAAGCTCTGGTCCGTCACTCCTGGCTATACACCCTTGAACAAGTTATTTTCCGCACCTTGGTATCCTCAGGTGTAAATGGAGGTCGTAGTAGGACTCCTCTTGTAGGGGGTGGTTATAAAGATGACGTAGTTCACCCACATAGATGCTAGAGTGCAGAGGTCAACAGGATAAGGCCCCTCTGCACCCTGTGGTCTGCTGGATCCTGGACACAGAAAGAGCGAAGATAGAGCCAGATGCGGTGACTCGTGCCTAGAATCCCAGCACTCTGGGAGGCCAACACAGGTTTATTGCCTGAGCTCGGGAGTTTGAGACCACCTTGAATAAAAGCCTCGCCCCGCCCCCCCATGTTGTCTCGCCTTACAGATGTTAAAATCTAGTCACCCTAGACATGGGGGCACCACTGTCGCGAACCAGCGCCGGAGAAGGGGAGCAAACCAGAGTGGAATTGGTGGGGAATGAGAAAAATACAGCATAAGAGAAAACAGAAACAAAAGATGAGATCCGGAGGGCTGACCGAGCAGATGGCTACAGCCAGCAGCAAATCACA